CTACAATGCAAACACAGTTGTGATGTCAGTAGGTCAGTCCTTATATCTTGCCACTTGAAAGTAAAAAAAACCTGTATTTGTTCAAACTTTACAAGGGCCTTTAGAAATAAGAGAGGAAGATAAAAGCAGGAATCATTTACAATACGAGCCATCCAGTCAATGTAAATAAGGATTCCACTACCAGATGAGTACCAATGTTTGTTCTGGAGAGCACACACCTTTTAAACCCAGGAGATGTCCCCAAATCATGGAGGTTAAAGAGAGTTTTTTGATACTTAAATTGTGATGAATTTGTAAGAGTACAACAGTGATTCAAAATTAGCTTGTCATTATAGTTCTCACCAATCTAACATCTCTTCAATGTGAGATTTTATAAAATCAGGATTTTATTAAATTATATAAAAATTAATTATCTAAAATAACTTCACATTTACTCTTCTTTATTTATTTATTTATTTATTTATTTACTTCGCTTATATACCGCAATTCTCAGCCCAATGGCGACTCTTCTTGCACATTTTCCTTGGAAATATAAAACTATACAAACACCAGTAATATTTTTTAAAAAAATCTGTTTATTTAAAAAGCTAGCTATTAATTAAAAGCTAATTTTAAAAATTCCCAGAAAAAAGAGACTTGAATATTTAAAAAATCCACAAGAGGAAAAGAGACATTAAAAGATTATCTTTTACTGGCTGAAAATGCTAATAAGGTTTTTAAGCAATAAAATGGGAAGGAGATGCAAAATGGAACTATTCTTTGCTCTCACTTTCATGGTTTTCCCAATTAGTTATAGACACAGTTGGAGTGACTGTTGCGACTTTTAGAGGGATGTTATTATTTTAGATAGCCATAAAGTATTGCATACCTGTATTTCTCATATTTATCTTGGGCGGCTTTACATGGACCCTTTATTTTATGGTCAATCTGGAGTGGCAAATGCTCCACTGCTCCACTATAGTGGAGTGGGAGGGAGTCCTGACTATCTGCTGAATGGCTGCCCTTACAATCCCTCCTGTTCATGTTGTTCTATGGTCAGCAGGTACAACTTTTCTACTGTCCATTGCTCATCACATGAAGTGATGTTGGCCAGGGTGCCAGAGCAATGCATTGGGGTGGGGGGAGGGAAAATAAGAAGAAACACCCCTCCCCTCTTTTCCAATTGTCTTGTTGCTCCAGCTGGTATCACTCCAGTCAACAAGCTATGGATGTGAGCCAAGTTACACCCACTTGCCATCTCAAAGACAAGAACAGGAGGGGAACAGTGAGTACCATCCTTTGTTCCTGGGCTACCCAAGTTGCAGCTATTTCTGTCTTACACAGACTTCAAGTTGTGTTTTAGTTTGGATTCTCACAGAGCGTTCAGAGTGACCAATTACATTTGTTAATGTAGTTCAAGGCTACGTTAAGCCTTGGCCTATGTTAACCTGAATTAGCTCTGTGTATCATTTAGCCACCATGGAGTTGATTCACCCCTCCTTTGGGATAATGGGTCAGTGCAGATATGTCCCTTGCTAGGTAAAGAAATAGAACAGTTCAAGGGGGTTAAAGCACACACATCCCTTTGTTTATGTTTTAAACCTTCTTTGAGGAATATGTGGCACACTCAGGATAGATTCATGCAGAGTGTGTTTATGATCCCAAGTCAAATGTGGTGGAAACACATTCGTGTTATCTCCTTGGAGTGATGCCAGTTTTGCTATATTCGTCTGCCAAATCATACTGTTTGAGAGTATGACCCACTGAACCAGGTTCCTTCCACTTTCTAAGTCAAAGGTCTAAGTTACAGACACCCTGTGGTTAGCTGTTGCTGCTAGAGGGCAAACATGGGTGCAACAAACATGAACAAAAGACCCCATGACTTTCATGAGATTGGGCCAAGTTCTGAGACCATAGCGTAGTGCCAGAAGTTGTGGCAGCAACACTAGTTTAGACCTTGAACATTGCAGGAATGATTTACTGCATCCAGTCATGAATCTACCTCCATTCTCTAAATGTGGGCATGCATACATCATAAATATAGTCAGTGACTGAGGCAAGGAGACCTTGGAGGCACTTGTATCCAACTGTTATTTCCACAAGTCTGCTGCTGGCTTGCTGCTCCTGGTCCTGTAGGATATTCCTGCCGTACTTGTGATGAAATAAACAAGCACCACTTGCAAAAGCTTCTCTATGCTTCTAAACTAAGTGGAAACAGAGGTTTTAAACACATTCCTTAATCTGATTTTTACCAGGCAAGTTTCCTAATGGTACAGTAGGTAACCAACATCTTTGCCAGATGATTTATATTACTTGTCAAAGAGAAGTAATTTTATGCTCTCAGGTGAAATCTGTTTGCAGATACTTTTTGCCAAGCACATGCCTCTAATTCACATAGTGACCCTTACTCATGCCTTTGTGGTTATGGAATTATGGGGTTTCCTTTTATATACATGTTCATTTTCATGGTCCCTGGGGCATATTAATTTATATGCAGTTCTGCAGTCCAAAATTCAACAGCACATTATTCTTACCAATTCCTTCTTCTCTGACCAAATGTTCCCCGGGCTGTAAAATATTCTCCATGCTGCTATAGAGCACGAACAACTTTTCCAGCTTGAACTGAAGCTAAATTTGATCTAACATTTTAACTCATTTATATGGATTGGCTAAATCTTTTGGTACATATCATGCAGTGCTTTAAAATACTTGCATTGATGTTCTACCAAGCTAGCTTATTAACTCTGAAGTATTATTGGTTCTATGAATTACTTAAGAAAGAAGGAAAAAAGAACATTCTAACACAGAGTTACAAGAGCATCAGAAATATTTATCTATGACTTATCTTTGGAAATAAATCCTCTTTCTTCATTATGACAACTTAAGACTTTCTTCAGCCAAAGATTTATGACTAGAAGCCACTAGGGTTTTTATTGTATTGCAAACTGCATAATCTGTACTCAGTCTTCTATTCTGTCATTGTTTACTGGATAGATAGAAATACAAGGATGCATCTACATGGTAGAATTAATGCAATTTAAAATCACTTTTACTGCCGCGGCTCAATGCTATGGAATCAGGAGAGCTGTAGTTTTGTAATGTCTTTAGCCTTCTCTGCCAAAGAATGCTGGTGCCTGACCAAACTACAAATCCCATGTTTCTACAGCACTGAGCCCTGACAGCCAAAGCCAAGTTTCTATTTAAAAAATTGTACAGGTCTGTGCATCTGACTCACATGATCTGCAATGTCATTGACGCTTCCGAATGAATTGTTGTATTCTCTTCTATTTTACCTTATAAGTGGGATACCAGCAGTGTAATCACAATGTAGCATGTTAACAGAAAAACTGTCTGAACCTGGAGCAGACCCATGAAGCCACATGCCATTACTATCTTTGTAACCCATGAGACCTTCAGGCTCCCCAGATCACTCTCTTGTTTTGGTCAAACAGGGGATACGTTGTCTCCCTGGGAAACCTGAGGAATGGCAATGCATCTTTTAAAAAGGTGGAAAGGTCCTACTGGACGTCCTTCCATTTCTAATTTAGTTTTTTTTCCTATGACAAATATTTACCTTATAGTTTAAAATGCCAATTTCTTCTTTCTCCTCTCTGTACCCCGCCTCTTCCCAATCTTAGTTAACAATCTAGCCTCATTATATGTTACTGTCCTTCACATATGTCTAAATCATCTTCAGAGTGGACTGTATATTGATCAAAACAGTCAAAACATACTTTTCAAGAAAAAATATGTCTGATCAGATAACGGTTTGAACCCAAAGTTCACACAAGTAACATAAATAAAAAATGGCTTCCAAACTTCTTCAAATGTATTCTTTGATTTCTCTTCTTGATAATCTCACTTTATATGTTAGCTTTTATTATAGACCACACTCTATTTATTCATAGCTGTACTGACAGACCTTCTAATGTTTTCCATTATTTCATCATTTCTAATCTTCCAGCACTTAACACAAGTGCTGTAAGATCTTTATTTGGCAATCTTTCATTTTCTTTCTCAAAAATGGAAATGAAAAGTAATGCTCCTCTAAGCCCCATTGCACCATTTAACATTTAGAAAACCACCCATTCTACAAAAGCAGAGATGGACTTCTGACTGCTTCGGGATGTTGTTGTCCTCCTACCACAATTTATTCAGTCATGTTTCCCGCATTTGGGGAAATCTCAGGGATCAGTAAACCTGGAGTGCAATGGATAAGCCGCTGCCACCGCCATTGCCTTTTCCTCTCCTCCTCCTCCTCCTCTTCTTCTTCTTCTTAATATTGTTATTTTATTGCATTGCAATAAGTCCACAGAAAGGTCCATGGCAAAGTATTGGCCCCTGGGGCCCTGCATGATACAACACTCTGTTTTTTTTATATCTACATGATTGTGAAAATGAAACAAGAATCCAAATATTCGATAACAGACAACCAGACATTTTGCTGAAATGTGGAACGTCAGATTTAATGACTAGGCATTATCAAAGAACCAAATGTTTACAGCAGTGGTTCCCAACCTTTTTTTGACCAGGGCCCACTTTGACTAGGGACCACTTGACCAGGAACCACTCTCTAACATTAGTACCAAAAGGGTTACAAATCAGGTTTTGGTCAACTTTAGATTTGGTTTGGGGTGCTGCTTCAGAAAACTGCATTGAACAGACCACATCAGCTCTAGTTTCTGATACAGAACATATGCCATGACCAGCAATAGGGAAGAAGTGGCTGGTGGTGCAAAAGGAATGGAAATAAATGAAATAAAATAAAGAGGAGGGAGGTTCACGAGCCAGATTTTTGTCATCGCAGTCCACTGGTAAACTACTGGTTTACAGGCAGAATGATTGATTATTTCACTCAACAATATCTAATGAACAAATATCATCAAACATTATATATAAACCATAATCTGGAATCACTGTTACCATAATCGAGGTACTTCTCAAACTGTATATTTGCTTGTTCAAGCACATACTGATTAAATTTTTCTGATGATAGAAAAATGTGAAAATCTGTGACTTACTGTGAGATGTGTGTTATTGGAGTCAGCAATGTTTCACCCTCGAGGTCAAGTTCATCAGCAAAGCTATTAGTCCTAATGAATGGTCCCGTGTTTACATCTAAAAATGGAGAGTTCCTTTTCACTGTGGAAAAGAAATAGGCAAGTAAAAAATTAAACTGCTTCGTTATCTATGTAATTTAAGGCAATGCAAAAAAAAATTTCAAAGATCTCAAAGGAAATTTAGGGTGAAACAATGAAAATGGTAAAGGTAAAGGTTTCCCCTGACATTAAGTCTAGTTGTGTCTGACTCTGGGGGATGGTGCTTTTCTCAATTTCTAAGCTGAAGAGCTGGCATTGTCCAAAGATATTTCCAAGGTCATGTGGCCAGCATGACTGCATGGAGTGCCATTACCTTCCTGCCAAGGTGGTACCTATTGATATACTCACATATGCATGTTTTTGAACTGCTACGTTGGCAGAAGCTGGGGCTAACAGTGGGAGCTCAGCCTGCTACCCGGATTCAAACCAGTGACCTTTTGGTCAGCAAGTTCTGCAGCTCAGTGGTTTAACCTGCTGCATCACCAGCAGGCCCAAAACAATGGAAAGACAGACTCAAAGAGAAGCAAATAAGATTTTATGTATGATAAACAGGACCAGATGATACCCAGATTAGAGACTTTGGGGAGTTATTACTTCTCCTAATACAAGTCTGCTATAATATTACCTCCTTTGTGAGAATTATCTGCTCCGAGACAGAAAGTAGAATTTTGTGGACACAAGTCCACTCAAAATGTTAAGCAGAACCAGGAACCCTTAAAGACATTCAATGTTATATGAGCTGATATTATAATTAAAACATTAATTCTTGGATTTAAATATGATGAATGCTTGGTATGCCATAAATTTCCTATCAATACAGTTGCCATGAAATATTGTACTGGCCTCCCCCTGCCCCATATAGCCAGTGTACTAAGTTGTGAGAATCTGGATTGAAGCCTTCCCTTGGGCATGAAAGTCAACCTCTGTGTTTTTCTTATAGTGGTCCGCACCAAACTCTTCAGAAGAAAAACAGATAATAAATGCAATGCATGCACAGTCAAGCAGGAGTGTGACAATGGAAAGTGAAAGGTATTTTGACAAGTCTCCCAGGGAAAGCAGGGAAAGTCGTGTTTTAGACAGCATATCTGGAGCTGTTCTTGCACTGATTTCTATTAGACTTATGAACTGAAATGAAGGATCACAAAGATTGATTTTAAACACCTTGAGTCCCAGAATGGAAAAGTAAAATTCCTCAGATCAGTGGACACAAGTTGCTTGTTGACTTATGGTCAGGAATTTCATGTGTTTTTCTAAGTGAAAGAATACTCAGAGAGGTTTTTACCAGTTCCTTTCTCTGAAATAAAGCCCACAATACCTGGTTATTTATTTATCGTGTCAGAAGCGAATTGAGAATACAGTTATAATGTATAAAATACCACGTGACATTATACTAAATGTCCTTTGACCAGAAGCTGAGCACTTGGAGTGCCTCTGGTGTTGCTGTAAGAACGTCCTCCATTGTGCATGTGGCAGGACTCAGCCTGCATTGTAATAAGTGGCTTGTGGTTTGCTCTTCTCCACACTCGCATGTTGTGGACTCCACTTGGGAGCCCCATTTTTAAAGATAGGCTCTGCATCTCATGGTGCCAGACCACAGTCTGTTCAGCCCCTTCCAAGTTAACCAACCTTCTGTGTGCCCAGGAGGGAATTTAGCCTGTCACTTTTGGACTCTTGCTTGATGACGTATTCCTGCGAGTATCTCCATAGATCTCAGGAAGCTATTTCTTGATTTAAGGCATTGGCGTGCTGGCTGATATCTGAACAGAGAATGGACCAGAGATGTCAATGCCTTGGTCCTTTCATTACTGGCTGCTACTTCCCGATTGATACAACACCTGATACTCAGTGGTGGTCTCCTATCCAAACACTAGGGATGACTTAACTTCAGACAAGATCTGATGTCTTTAGAGTATTTTGTTGTTGTTATTGTTGTTGTTGTTGTTGTTGTTGTTCATTTGTTCAGTTGTTTCCTACTCTTTGTGACCTCATGGACCAGCCCATGCCAGAGCTCCCTGCCGGCAGTCACCACCCCCAGCTCCTTCAAGGTCAATCCAGTCACTTCAAGGATGCCATCCATCCATCTGGGTCGGCTGGCCCCTCTTCCTTTTTCCTTCCATTTTCCCCATCATCATTGTCTTCTCTAAGCTTTCCTTTCTTCTCATGATGTGGCCAAAGTACTTCATCTTTGCTTCTACTATCCTTCCCTCCAATGAGCAGTTGGACTTTGTTTCCTGAAATATGGACTGGTTAGATTTTCTTGCGGTCCAAGGCACTCTCAGAACTTTCCGCCATAATCTTGGTTTTCTTGATGTTTAGCTGCATCCCAGCTTTTGCGCTTCTTCTTTCACCTTGATTAGAAGGCTCCTCAGCTCCTCCTCGCTTTTGACCATCAAAGTGGTATCATTTGCATATCTAAGGTTGTTAATGTTTCTTCCAGCAATTTTAGCCCCAGCCTAAATAGGCACCACCCACAAGAAATTATACACAATATCAATATAAATAAACAATGAACGGGATCCCAATTTCAACACATATATAAGTTATACCCATAAGAGCTCTGAGATTCCAGTTAATTATGATTCCAGTGGGTCTCCCATTAAGTACAATAAACTTTATTGAAGCCAAGAGGCATCTACAGTGTAGAATTAATGCAATTTGACATTACTTTAATTGCCTTGGCTCAATAATTTGGAATCATGATAGCTGAGTGTTTGTAAGGCATAGCAGACTTTGGTAGGCAAGATTAAACACTTTCTAAAACTACAACTCCCAGAATTATATGTCATTGAGCCATGGCAGTTAGGTATCAAGCTGCATTAATTATGCTGTGTAGATTATCTCCAGGGAAAAAATGTAACAGTTCACATGAAGTGGAAAGTGAGAATAATAAAAGGTAAAAGAATTCCTTTAAAATAATGTCTTATTCCCATGATCTTGCAAAGTGTGGCTTTAATGCAACATCTTTTTATTTTCTTGACATCCTCAATAAATAGAAAGAGCTTTTTGCCCAGAACAGGATTTACATAGAGAGGACTGGATAAGGGGCAGGGTAACTTGCTGAAAGACAGACCATTTATGTTCTTAAGGTGAGAATGTCTTCCAAATAATATTGTTTATTGGGCTTTCCTCCTGCTGCCAATGTTATTTCTCATGTTAAAAGCTGGGAACAAAAATGACAAAGCTGCTTCTGTGTTAAAAGAAAATGATGAGATCCAGTGAGATGGAATGGGAATGAACAGAATCAGAAAATCTGGAAGATGTAATCTATCAGGGTGGGGGGAGGGGCAATGGGCAACCAAAGTGATAAGGAAACCATTCCCTATAAGGCAGCTGGCTATGTTTTAGCCTGGAGAAGGGAAGATTAAGAAGGTACATGATAGTCATGTTTAAATATTTGAAAGAATGTCATCTTGAAGATGGAGCATGCTTATTTTCTGCAAATCCTGAGACTAGGGCCCCATCTACACTGATCAACTAATGCAGTTTCAAACCACTTTTGAAGAAAGTAGTTTTGCGGTGCAAATGGTTGCATAGGATGGTGATTACACAAACCACAGAACACTGCTGCACATTAAGCGCTTTCTTTAGCATGCTTTTGTGGTAGTTTGTTGTTTGGCACTGAGGTTTGAGGCTAGCTTCGAACTGCATTAGCCATGGATTCAAAGAGAAGGAAAAGGGATGTCACCTGAGCATTAGGAATATCTTCCTGAAAATAAAATGTGTTCTACAATGGAATATGCTGCCTCAGAATGAGGTGGAAGCTTTTTTTAAAAAAACAGAGGCTAGATGGCCATCTGTTGAGGTTGCTTTGATTGTGCTTTTCCTGCATGGCAGGAAGTTGGACTGAATGGCCTTTGTGGTCTCTTCCAACTCTAAGATTCCACGAGTCTATGAAACTGGAAAAAGCTTGAAGTGAAAACAAGTTGAAATTTGACAAGATTTTATCTCTCTGAGAATGTGTTTTTAATTTATGGAGCCGTAAAATCAATTAAACATTCTCAATAGAAGGCCATGGAAAATGGAAATATTATTTCCATTAGAAAATCCTATTTTACTTGGTGTGCATCTGTGTCTTCCTTGATTGATTTCCTGGTTATTTATTTATGCACTTGACTTACAACTCTCTAACCAACCTAGCCATTAGTGGCAGATTATGGTTAGCCAGAGTGTTGCAGATTGGCATCCTCTGGTGTATATGCTGTATTTTTCTTACTATTTTGCCCTTTTATTATAAAATCTGAGTTATAGAGTCGCATGTTTCATTGGCAGTAATTTCTCAGCACTTGAGAAACAGTGTTTTCAGAAATAGACATAATTACTTCTAGTGAAAGAACCATCATTGGCTACTCTACACCATATTTCCATTGACCAAAATCTAAAGGGCTCATTCCATAGATTGATGTTTTGCTACTAGCATCTATGAAACCTGTTCTATATGGTTGATAAATTCCCCGGAGTCATTTTTTCAGATGCTGCAGAGATTTTGGGCAAGAGAGATGAAGGTTGATAACTTGTCCAACACTAGCCACTGTAATATTATACTTTTTGTCTGGTATTATACAACCATGTAGAACATCTACATACCAGTGATGGGAGTCTGAACCCATTTGGTTGTGCACTGAACAAGAACACAAATCAATAGATTCAAATGGCAAGAAATGAGTATTCAACTAAACAATAGGAAGTACTTGTACACCACGCATGGGCAAACTTTGACCCTCTGGGTGTTTTGGACTTCAGCTCCCACAATTTCTAACAGCTGGCTGTTAGGAATTGTGGAAGTTGGTGTCCAAAACACCCAGAGGGTCAAAGTTTGCCCATGCCTGTTCTAAAACTGTTTGGCAGTAATAGAAATTGTCTCAGAGGATAGTGAACTCTCCTTCTTTTGAGGTGTTTAAGCAAAGGTTGGATGGGCATCTCTCAGGAGTGCTGTAATTGAGTATTCCTGCTTGGCAAGGGTTTGGAATGATGGCCCTTGTGGCAACAAGATAAGTTGAGGGGAGCACAACTGTTGAACATTTCCCAGTAATAAAAGGGTGGATGGTACATATTTTGTAGTCTGTTCAGAACCTTCAAGTGGTCCAACGGATGGCAGCCAGACTGCTTAAAGTAAAAGCACTTGAATACAAAGATCTAGACATTTTGTACAGATACTGAAACCTTTAATCATGACAAATGCAATGTTGGACTGACGTGTTAGCCCCATAACAGTGAGATGGGGTAGGAAAATAAGGGAGAGAAATTGTCATTTGTTTGGTGTTTCAAGTATCCCCATTCAACAAAAATGACGTATCTCCCTACTTATGTGGGCTAGTAAAAGAAGGAACAGAGAACAGTAAGCCTTACCAGGCGTATGTAGTAATTTAAGTCATATGGGGGCACTTGAATGCCACTTTCGGAGCTGTTATGTCTCCCCCCCCCCCCAATGCCACACCCCTCCATGAGGGTCTCATCTGTGTTACCAGTGAATGGATGTTCTGCAAGGTTCTCAGGTTGGAAGATCAGACCTGGACTTGCTGCAGTGGTGTCCATCTGAGGTTCCAACTGATGGAAGCCCTGTTGGTTGAGAAGGCTGTCATTGAAAACATGGTTGAATGCTGCTGAGGAGAGATGACCCATGTTGGGGAAGTCATGGAGAAAATGCTGGCAAGGGTCCAGAACTGACTTTTCAGGGGCTCCAGGAGACCCGTGGGATTTCATGCACTGGATGACAGGCTGGAGGGGAACTGCCTGGGTCCAGGGTAGCCTTTTTCTGTCTTCTACCCTCTGACTATTCACAAAAGAGTCCACTTTCTGTGTCTTCAGAGTTTTTGAAGGTGGCAGACATTCTGGCTTCAAGGTAGAGTTTGGAACTGAGAGGTTATCCTGCTGCTGGGGGTGGGCTTGCATCATGGCCTGGGACTGACCCAGCATTTCTGCTCTTTGTGCTTCCAGCCACTGATGTTTGACCTGCAGCTCCCGGTGCCCCCGGTGGCGCAGTGGGTTAAACCCCTGTGCTGGAAGGACTGAAGACCAACAGGTCACAGGTTCGAATCCGGGGAGAGGCGGATGAGCTCCCTCTATCAGCTCCAGCTCCTCATGCGGGGACATGAGAGAAGCCTCCCACAAGGATGATAAAACATCAAATCATCCGGGCGTCCCCTGGGCAATGTCCTTGCAGACGGCCAATTCTCTCACACCAGAAGTGACTTGCAGTTTATCAGGTCACTCCTGACACGACCAAAAAAAAAAAAAAAGCTCCCAAATCTCTTCTTCCTGCTTGGAGGTCCTGTGCTGCTCCCGCATGGCACTCATCAGGTACAAGCTCTCGTCATGAATCTTGGCTAGCCATTCTGTCACCAATTGCTGTAATGCCACTTTCAATTCTGACTCCAGCTTTACCTTCTGTGCTTCATAACATGTCTTAACCAAGCTTATTTCAATCTTCAGGTGGTCCCTCTCTTGCCGGACAGTCTCCAGTTCACTCCCCAGGACTTGGACTTTTGACTGCACAAAGGCCAGGATCCACAGGATATCTACTGACTTTTCAGCTTCTGATTGGGTGATCACAGATTGAGAAGGTCGACACTTTTCCTCTGCACCAGAAGGGTCAATGAGCTGCAGTTCCTCCCAACTCTTCTCGTTTTCCAGCTGGCTCCAGCTCCCCTCCTATAGGGCCTGGCGCTGCTGCTCCAGTTGCCTCTCCTACTGGGCCCAGTCCTGCTGCTGTTCTTCCAGTGTAGCTTGCAGCGCCTTGACTAGCACGCATTTGATAAGAATAACCAACTGTGTAGCAACTTGTTTTATCTTTCGGTTCTTCTGTTCTGTTGCTGATATTATGCATTGCTAACAGTTATTTTTTATGGCTTAACATTAAAATGTCTGATTTTGGTAAAGACATACATTTGTTCTCTATACCTTTGAAAGACAAGATAATCCTAATCATCCCCCTGATGGCAAAATGCACCTTAACAATTCAACATTTAAGAGAAATAAATCAAAGAGATTGAAGTTTTACCTGGAGAAGGGGGAGAACTGGGAGAAGGCTGCTCTGCAGAAAAGGAGGACCAGGAATGCTGTCGAACTGAGATTCAATAGGTGAAAGAGAGGGAAAAACAGAGTGCAAAGGACACAGAAACAGAAAGGGAGATAGTCAACTAGAGAAGCAACACAACAACTCAAGCCATCAATTATTCATTTTTTAAATGGCTTGATATATATTTTTTAAAATACAATTATCTAAATGACACTAAGATATCATGGTTTGTTTCTCTTTCATACAATATAAAAGTATCAATAAGAGGATTCCTGCATCCTTCAACTCTACCAGCCAGACCTAACAGGTTTTTTTTGGTGCTGGGCCCTCTTTTTGCCTCCCCCCACCCTTTTGCATCGTGTCGCACTTAAAATGCTGTATCAGTCTTATTTCACTATACTAATGAGGTAACAACTTTTCCTATCTTGGGGAGATGTCAGTGGATCAAGTAAGGAAGGGCTAAGGACTATGTCCAGAGATGGAAGTCCCCATATTAAAAATAATTTTAATGTAATGTTTAATCTTTTTAAAATGGTTTTTTATTAGTTTTCTTATCAACAATCAATTTGAAAGGAAAAATTGGTAAAGTTAGAGATATAGGTAAAAAAAAAAAGGGAAAGGAAAAACTTCCAATCTTCTTCACCATGGTATTTTCTATCCTAGTCTTAACTGTTGACTTTATTTTATTTTGCCATCCCTCTTCTTTTTTTGCTGGGGACAAGTTCTCTTATATTCAGATGCTCTTAGATTCAATTTGATTATATTATCAATTTCGTTTTTTTCTCTTATAATATCTCACTGAAGACCAGTCCGTTGTTTTTCTATATCCTTCTGTGTGTTTGTTTAGTAATTGGGTTAAATTGTCCATGGACATTATGTCCACTATTTTAGACGCCCATTGTTCTCTAGAAAGGGATTTCTTTTGTTCTCCAGTGATGAGCATAATTTATTTTGGCCACCGTCTGCAGATAATTCAATAATCTAGCTTTGGTGTCCCGTCCCCCCCCCCCCCCCAAATTCTGTATAGATAATGTTCTGGTTTTAACTGTAAATTTATATCTTAGATATTTTGTATTTCTTCTTGAATTTTTTTCCAATAGTTTTTGGCTATTTTACACGTTCACCACATATAGAAGAACATTGCTTCATGCTCTTTGCATTGCCAACATTTGTTTTGGATATTTGGATAGCATTTCGACAGTTTCGGTGGGGTAATATACCATTGGTACATCATTTTATACCAATTTTCTTTTAAGTCATATGAGTAGGTAAAATTGAGTTTTTGATTCCATATATTTTCCCAGTCTTCTGTTTTTATTGCATGTCCAATGTTAGTGGCCCATTTTATCATGCATTCTTTTGCAAATTCTGTTTCCGTTGACCATTCCAAAAGGTTTTTTTTTGTTGGTAGATTCATGCTATTAACTTCTTTTGTGTTGTCATTATCCTGTCCCAAAATGTATCTTTTTCTGAAAAGCCTATTTTATCATTTTTAATGTAAAGCCATTTTTAATGTAATGTCTCATAATTTGTTTTTAGGGTTTACATTGTAATGTTTATTTATGTTTTGGTTTTAATGTCTTAATTGATTGTTTTTGTTTTTATTACTCTTCATTATTCTGTATTATTTGATGCATTTGTACCTATTTTGAGGCATTGAATGTTTGCCTTTTTAAGTGTAAATCACCCCGAGTCCTTCCGGGGAGAGTGGGTTGTCTAGAAATAAAATGTTGTTGTTGTTGTTGTTGTTGTATCTTTATGGCTGCCTTTTAAAGAAAAAGCCCTCACCAGCTGTTTATAACTTTAGCTAACAATTTTATGACCAAACTATATATATAACAGTAATTCTAAATTAAATAAACTATTCACATCTCTATTGATTTTTCCCTGAACAGCACCGGAGGCCATGTGTAAGGAACTTAATCTTATGATTATTTCTGATTAGGTAAGACATACATTTCAGTTCCAGTAAACTAAATGACCTGAAAAGTTACACACTAAAGGGACTATCCATCAAATATTTTTCTCACTGATTTCAATGGGAAAATTGAGACATTCTTAACCTTTCTCACTGAAGCATGAGACTTAAATGCTAAGCTTTGGCTATATCATGATCTAATATTCTCCCATTTTGTTCTATCATAACAAAAATATGAGAATTACATTATGAGATAAAATAATTTAAAAATGATAAGAAACATAAGAAGTATATTGAAAATATTATTAGAAAATATTATTATTATTATTATTATTATTTATTTATTTATTTTGGTACACTTGTATACCGCTAATTTCTCAGCCTGGATCGGCGACTCAATTGCGGTTTACAGCAGATTAAAAACAATCTCCAATTTAAAACATATACACATACAATAACAAATTATTGGGCCACCAATAATAATCCCATATGTCTCGAGTTGAAATCACAGTCCAGAGATCGTTGTCCATATTTTCTGTCCATAGTCACCAAGAATCGATTGTTATTATTATTATTATTAGTAAACACTTTAAGAGCTGTAAGATCTATAAAAAACAGTGGGATCTATTTCCAAATAAGCATACTATGATAACACTTATCAAATAAAACCACGTATCAGAGAACCACTTAGCTTTATCGTATTTTATTTACAAAGTCTCAAACATGAATGAACAAGCAAATGTTAAATGGCATTGAGTAAAGACTACAGATTAATTCAGGTATAATGATAAAAGTATAAAATGGAATGTTAAACTTAAATCATGTTAATGAAACAAGACAACTAGATAACTATTTCCTATGTTTCTTCCTTAGTAACTTAATTTTGATAGTAGTCACATATTAAAGAATTCTCATATTCATTAGCCCCATTTCTATTGCAGCCTAAACAATTAAGTGCCGAGATCAGAATATGAAGTCTAGACTACTACAAGTAATAGGTTAGGTTTTTGGAGTATTGCATGCTGTAGATAAATGGAGCATCTTTAACTTACCAAAACATTTAAACATTCCTTTTTGTCCTGTATACTTGTAAGAGTTTTGAGAGAACAGAACACAGGGAGGAGGGGGAAAAAAGAAAGAGAATAGATGTCAGAAAGAAAAGGAACCCTTTGTTTCCAAGCTGGAGTTAGTACCTGCTTATAGATTACATCGCCCTTTAAATGGTGAAAGTCACAGTTAAAGGTTAATGTCAGTTGTGCATAGAAAGCAGTGAAAGAGAGCTATAACATCTTTTGTACTACATAGTCTATCCAGAAGCCCAGAACTGCATGTGAACTTTCTACCTGATATGCATTCAAATGTGGCGATCCCCATTGATATTTGCTTTCTACAACATGTTAAGTAAAATTGTCATTTATTTGTAGGAGAACTTGTCCAACTGTCTGTCAAAGAAAATGAAAAGAGAACCTTCAGAATATCCTAGTATGAACATCAGGTATACAACAAGAAACAGAAATATTTTACATATTTGATTTTGGTTTCACCAAATGGTCTTTTTTTAAAAAAGAGGATGTTGCAGAAAGCTTGTCAAGAAAATCAGAATATAATTCCAGCAATGCAGGCAACTGTTACAGGATCATAGGGTGCAGAAAACAACTCGGAAGCATGGCAAACTGGAGGAAAAACTGTCAAGCAGAGTTAGGCTTAAGACCTTTTCAACCAAAACATTAGCTTCCTGCTTGGTTACACATTCATACAGAATCCCAGAAGCTTCAAACATACAGAAGAAGCAAGTATTATTTTCAAGGGTTGTGTAGAGAAGTGTTCATTATACTGTGTTTCAAACTGTGTTTAGGCTTTACATTGTGGCCAGGGCCTAG